CCTATAGCGCTCGTTATGGAGCCCCTGTTGATTTTACGTTCCATTGGGAGGACGTGACCTTTCCTGAGTTTCCGAATGTTGTTTTTGTGAGGTTTGTGTCCACGCTGTGGGTTGACGTAGGCTTTGTAGATTCGTATAGTTTCGTTGCGTTGTATATCCGCTGCCAGGGACAGCTTTGGGGACCGCTTCCATTTCTGGATACTAACTCAGACTCATGGTCGGACAGCGATCCTGATATGGAGGAGTAGTTGGGCGACTAGATGGACGACTTTTTGAGGTAGCATGACCCGAATGACAGACCTTTTTGGATAGGGTCGTATAGTTGTTGGAGCGGGGGTGTAACGTCCTGAATTCGGCCCACTTTCGTGATCAATAAAATGGATATGTATTTCTCATTGCGTTTTAGTGAGTCTCGCCCGGAACTGATCATTCTCGGGATACTGACCAATAGGAAATGGCTAACTAGGAAAAATGGTACGTGGACCCAAGAACTCGAACGTGAATTGAGTCCAATTCCGAGAAACGACGAGGGAATATTTTGTGCCGACGTGGGCCGATCCAAGGAGAGTGACGGATTTGGTTTGGCCATCGACGTACGACCGGATAGCGGGTGATTCCGCACGACCGAGAGTACGCGCGGCGAACGATCCCGAACTTAATCCGAACAATCGCGACCCCTGGAACTAGTGATAAATCCTCGTGTTCTCTGGGAAATCGAGACCGTCATGACTCGAGTAACCCTAGGTCGATACGCGTAACCCCTAAACAGCCGCCCGTTAGTGAGAGACGCTAAAATTTGCATTTGAGAGAAATCGATCGTGGAATTGAGTCCGGACTTCGGTGTCGGATTTTGTGGACGTACGCGACTATTTTGTAAGGACGACGTCATTTTTGTGTGGCCAATCATATTTGGAATCAGTGGAGTTGAAAATTGGAAATTTGACCCGGGACCGGAAAATTACCAAATTGCTCCTGGACCCCTAAGCTTGTATTCCGAATTTTAGAGAATTATTAGTGGATATTATGGTCTTGCTTATTATTATTATTATTGTTAGAATCCTTGGACCTTAGTGCCCTTAGATATTTTGTCTAGAATTAATCCTAGCCCTTGATTAGAGGGCATGATGGTCATTTTTGGGTGTTTGGTCAACCACCCCACTTAGCCAAACCATATACACTCTAGTCTCTCTCTCTCTCTCCCTCATTCTCACCATCACTCACCGGCCATCTCCCCCTCCCACGCCTCACTCTCTCCCTCTCATTTCTATTTGCTCGGCTGTGAGAGGCCTCGCCGGAGGAGCTCCGCCGCCGCCGCCGGAGGAGTCCGCCCTTGCCGTTGCTTCGCCGGAGTAGCTGTTGCTGTGCCAAGGCTCTTGTTTACTCCCTTGCTAGGTTGTCTTGCTTAGGCTCTCTTGTAAGTGACTTCCTAATCCTTGGTTAGGCTAGTGGGTTACTAATGGCATGTCTAGGGATGGATTAGGGGCTGTGGATGGTTGGTTTTGTGGTTGTATAAGCTTGATTTGCTTAATGGTGCAAGTGTTATGATTCTCGGATTTCTGGTTGATACTGTACCTCTGTGCTTTATTATTTTTTTGGTGATTATTGTGGGCCGAATCTGAGTAAGTATTCTTCTTGGAATTTGTTCCCAACATCTTTAAGTATAACATAATTTAAATTCAGAATTTTTAGAATATTTTTGGGGTCATTTGGAAGTCGGTTTTCAGACCGTCACAAAACTGCCCGATTTACTGTTCACCCGACCTTCTTGTCTTTCCGAATTTTTATAAAATTTTCCAGACCTTATTTCAACAAAATTCCTTGACAAAAATTGTTAAAAACACTTTTTTCTATGACATATAAAAATTTCAGAGCTTTCCAAAGTGATTTGGGTACTGAATGAGTTGTATTTTTTATGGTCTGAGGGGCTGTCCGAGCGAACCGGGTTCTGTCCGGCTTTGAGTGTCAAAACGAGGTGTTTACGGTTGGAACTGGGTTTTGAGTTCTTCACAAAATTTTTTTATCAAGATGTTTTATACAACATATCCAAATTTCATAATTTTTAGAGTTGATTTACTATTTATTTCAAATGGATTTCTGTCACTGAACAACTTCCCAGTTTGGACCCGATTTTGTATATTCTCGGTTTTCTCTCTCTCGAGAATTATTCGGTGTTATCGTGACATTTTGACGGATTTAGTTGACAGTGGGCTAATTATGGTGAGTTAAAGGACCGGATTGCTGTGGCATGTGTGGGTGAAATTGACGATTGATTGTGGCCGACTTGAATGTCGGATTGGTGAGCTCGTGGTTTGGAATTGGGATGGTTTTGGGTGCATATTAGTGGCTAATGTTGGCGGGTCAATGATTGAGCATGTTGTGGCATTAATTGAGTGTGGAAATTGTGGATGCCGAGCGTGGACGTTATGGCCATGAATGTGTATATCGAGCATTGGCATAACATGTGCATTATGTGAGTATGCACGAATGACATGAGCATGTGATCACCTAAATCACCCTGATGCGTCTTACGCGAGATTCAGATAATAATTGGTGGTATGAGTACGTGTGATCACATAAAACCCTGATGCGTGTTACGCGAGGTGTTGAACCCGTCCCGATGCATTTTACCCGGGACGATGCCCGGATTGCCGGAAGACTGCCAGCCTGATGCGTTTTACGCGGGTTTTGGTCCGTATAAGGAGATCGGTGTTGCGCCTGATGCGTTTTACGCGGGCCAGGAAGTGTTGTATGTGATAGACCTGATGCGTTTTACGCGGGTCGGACCTGATGCGTTTAACGCGGGTGGGTGAATGAATGGAAAGTTGGCACGTGTGCATGTGTGCAGAAAGGAACATGAGCATATGCATAGTGATGGCACTTGTGCAAGAGTGCATTAACGAGTACAAGCATGTGCATGGCAAGTGTTCGTGGCCAATTGATGTGTGTATGTACCATTGTTGGGCTTAGTGCCAGTATTATTATGTGCCTAACCTGCAAGGTCAACATATGTTTGATTTGGGCCCGAGGGCCTAAGTCGTATGGTTGCTCTATTATGTGTTTAGGTAAGACTTGTCTGGGTACGCATTGGCCTAGGTAGGGTTTAGGGTGTTGCTTATTAAGACTCGTTCTCATGGTTATTATATAACCATTTCAGAACCCCGACTCCGACCATGAATGGTCCGTCACAGCGTTTTGGGATCCCGAGAAAGAGCCGATGGAGCAAGATCCCGAAGAGGAGCCCATGGAATTGGTGGACCCTTTTTGTATAGCTAGGCTAACCTACCCGACCACTTGCCCCTTTTTGATGATGGTGGTTTTAACTTTAGTGGCCTTTGTATGTAAGGTTGGATGTTGTAAGTACGTGCCGTTGAATGAAGTATGTGGTTCATTTGTTCAAGTGTTCTACTACCATTAGTCTTTAATCTTGTCTGGGTGCTTTTAATCGTTTCCGCTTGCGCTTTATGTTTTGATGTTCGCGTGGGTCGGCGACGAGTCCTGGGACGTCGCGTTCAATACGACCAGCGAAGGGGTGTCGCGAGTCCGTTGGGGTTCGGGGCGTGACAAGGGGAGCATTTGGGGGTGGTTGTGTAGGTAGAGTAGTGTACCTAACCTCCCGGGGGTGACTTATCTTTTGAATTGTATATTTGTACAGTTAGTTCGCCTGTACCTTAACTCTAACTTTGTATATATATATATATATATAGAAAGGTATTTATCAGCATACGTTTGTGTATGTTTCTCAGTAAAAGATACTTTACATTCTTGTTTCATAAATATTAATAGCTTTCGCATGCGTATATGGATTATTAGACCCTTTGTCGTTAGTGGTGACGGCCTAGGACGTCACACTCACTCCAGCCCTCACATGATCACGGAAACTGCAGATTTTTTCAGCAGTTGGTTTTTGCTTACGTGTAATGGTCTTTAGCTTGAGTTTTGTCAATCAATTTCGCTTTAATTGGCTCGAATCTCTGCCCTCCCTTGCTTTGCACATTTCCTCTCCTCCTTGGAGCTGGTGAGATGTCCTTTTGTTGCTGTTCACGCCTACTATTGCAACTTGAGAAGTCCAGTCGCCCGGTCCACCTCCAACCGGTTATGGCTAAGCTGATATTTCTCCAATTCCAATTCAATCCTTAGTTCAATCTCTGTAGTTCATTTCAGACTAGATAGTTGGAGGTCTAAGGAGCCCAATTATGTGGGGGAAATGAGTGAATAAGTGGACGTCTATGGGTCGAGGACCGGTGGGGAGAAATGTTCATCTCGGGTAAAGTAGGGGCAGACTTCGCAATCACGCAGAAATGCGAGTCCCTTTTTGAAGGCCCAAAAGTACTTTTTCTTTGTGCAAGTCCTCTGGTGCAGGGATTGGGCGACACCTTATCGAAGAAATAGATAATTTGTAAACTAAGCTAAGAACAAGCAAGCGAACCATATACCTTTTGGAAATAGACTCAAAGACGCTTGTTGTGATATCTGGTTTGTAATTGTCTTGGTTCTTTTGAGCCTTGAACTAAGAAGGATAAGCCTGGACAAAAAAAGTCTCTGAGAGCATGGATGAATCCGGGTGTGCCGACGGGTCTCATGCTTTTGTCTATCAAAATATATTCTGTTGGGCCCGACTTATTATAACATCCCCAGATGCAAATTGCAGTAGGAACCTTAGTGGAAAAAAAAATGCAAGTTGGCGAAATGACGAGGTTTTCAGTTAGGGGTCGAATTTCAACATCATCGGCAAGGTCAAAGATCCTAGAACTACATCATGTCTAATTTATCTGGCCTTCCAAGCACAAAGAGGGAGGGTGAACAAAGATGTAGTTAATGCACCCGAAGTGCTCTATGATTAGTTTATTGGTTGTACCTATTGTTGGGTTTCGTGTCTTGATTTCTAGCCAAACTTAGCAAGAACCGACCCAAATCTAATCCCTCATGATGCAACTGATCATCAAGGGAAAAGGTTCATAAGAACTAGGAAAAAAACACAAGTGCGACCGTGAGGCAAACAATACCATGAACTGATCTGTTATGAATTGCAATAAACTTCATCACCACCTATTATACAAAAAAGAAGACCAAAACCCATTTGCAACTCCGTAATTAGATGGAGCTTTCGGATTCACGTGAAGGCAAAGAGGAGACACTAGGTAGCTTGCCACAATCATATTCGGTTATACTATTTACTACTCTAGCCAAGAGGAGCTTATAGAATACAACATCTCTTAGGAACTTCATTAATCGACTAGACCCATCTTGTTGCACCCATCCCGACAAGTACGATGCTGTTATCAGTGTCGCCGCCCTCAATCTCCTCTCCTTTGCATACCTCTCCATAGCAAATCCAATATCTTGGGTCACGAGTTTGCCGTGCTTGGAGATAGAGTCCCCGAGGTGCCTACCCAATACCACCGCGTCCTCAAGTGCCGAACATCCACCCTGGCCCAAGTCGGGAGTCATTGGGTGCATAGCGTCTCCAGCCACCGTGACATTTGATCGGGCTAGCTTTCCGAACAGGATGTTCCAAGGGTATCGGAACATCAGCGGGGCCCATGTCAAACTCGAAAGATCGGAGTGCTTGACGACATCAAGGAACACGGACGGGAAGTCCTTTGCCAAATTTTCGATCACCTCCCTTTGGATCATTTCTGGATCTGCTCCTTTTTCCAAACCTTTTGAATTGAAACATTAGGATCAAGGAGAATTAGTAAGCTACTATTAAAGGAGCCATCATGGTTCAGTGAAAGTTAGGGATCTGAAAAAAAATGGGAGATATTGATTGGAAATATACGTCAAGATCGGCTTTAATTAGTCAATGTTTATCGCATATACATTCATCTCCGAATTTATGAATTAATTCATCATAACTATTTCTTTCTTTTCCACTAAAACCAATCTGGCTACTTTTCTATTTAGTATATTAAGAAAGAAGCGACTCACTCTAGTTTATTAAAAGACTAAATCCAGAACGATCGAACGGAAGATAATATGTAATATATATGGTACCTTTAGGAGGACACGTTGCCCCGAAGAACCAGTACACTTCCTTATCATTGAGAGTAATAAAACCCGCCCTCTTGCCCACATCTACAAATTGATGAATCCCGTGGCTTTGGTCATAACCGTGACCCTTCGGGAACACGGACAACCCACGCACTGCTGACCGGCCTGAATAGACCGGCGGGCGAAGTCCTAGCCAACGGGCCACAATAGAGTGCACGCCGTCGCATCCTATAACAACCTGCACGTACAATAATTACTAATTACGGTGCGGATAAATTAAAGTCGATAAGTTACCTCATCTTATTTCAATTCAAAAGAAGGTACTTGAGAATTGTAGAGACCTTAGACTTTATGATGGACCCATCATCAAGCGTGACAATACAAATGGGCGAGCCTTGTTCTACTTGCGTTTCGATGGAAGTTATCTTGGAAGAGAATCGAATGCTATTTGGAGGAAGCTCCTCTGCCAGAACTTCCAACAAGACTTTTCGGTGAACCGCTCTTGGTTGGGCTCCATTCCTGCTCAATGCAGAAGGCGAGGTTTTCTGTCCTTAGCAGACCAAAACACATATCTAAAATAAACAATTGTTACAAAAAACAAGCGATCGAAGTATAACATAAATAGAACAAGAAAAATCGAATATCGAATTTACGTGGATCATTCGGTGGGACCTACTCCACACGGAGAGCACAAGATCCACTATAGATTAAGCGATACAACAAAAATTACAATCACACTCGAATCACTTAAACATTGTCAATGTTTTCCCAGCTCCCCACACACAGTAATTAACCTGATAATTCCTCGTGAAATAACTTTTTAGTCTCACAAAGTTATTTATAAATCTTATCACAAGATTTATTAGCTTGAACACCAAAAGCACCTCTTGAACACCAAAAGATCCTCTCGGATGCTCTTCGCAAAGAAGACCCACTTTTTATATAGAAAAGAATTGGATCCAAAATTGAAAATCTCTTGTAGTACACGTACTTAAATTAGGAAATCTACTTGGATCGTGTTTTCTTTATGGACTTCAAACCCGAGACACACTTTCAACAGCATAATCCGATAAAATTGTCCAATTCTATCTAATAAAAGGAGTATTAAATAGTCAAACTTAATTGAGTAGATGAGCTGTAAAAATAGGGGTTATTTGTTCCATTCATGGTATATTTCTGACGGTCATTTATAACATTTTGTGCAAATTAAAACATATAGTAGAAGATTACAAGAAATTAATTGATCTATAACATTAAACAGTAAATTAAGGAAACAAGTGATGATGAAAAAGTAGGTAGAAAATATGAGAGGAAATTGGAGATTCACCGGTTACTTCGAGGATAATGCACTTCTTGAATCGATTTAGTCTTGACATCAGTTATGTATCCCCTAAAAACAAGTAAAAAAAAAATCAGAATATTAACAAGTAAAATTATTATTTCTCATCATTGAGAAATTGTCGGACAAATTCAAGGTCAAGCATTATGGATCTTTAATTATTACATAACGGATTTAAGATATTTTCGAAACCTAAACTCAATTTAACGAAGTACAAAACCAATGCAGAGCTTATCTTTCTACTCAGTATATCTTGCTTGAATAGCCTATTGTTCTTTCTCACTGATATAGCACTTTCTCCCTTCATTTGATGAATATTAATGTAATAATTTATATTGTTCTGAGAATGAATCCCATTAGCAACTTCAATTGGTAAATTTCACGAAGTCATTGGACTTCGGTGCATTTTACGATCAGCCACTGTATTTTCATCATCCATCAAGAATGGTCTTAAATTGAAAAGGAACAAAGCCAAGGGTCGGCTTCCTCTCAAATTTGAGTGTTGTCATCTTTAATTGGTTTCTTCTGCTTCGATAAATCAAACAATCAAATTTAAAAAGCTTGAAAATATATTTTCGATTCCAGCAATAGCAGAGAAATCGCTCAACTAACTCCCGATCTGTACATGATTGTTGAAGTAAAGATTGGATCGGGTTTTAATACTTCGAAATGATTCAACATTAAACGATAATCAGACATCTGTGTTCCTGTACAAAGAGCAAACAAGGACCTTACCTTTCGAAAGGAGCATAAAGGGCTGCGAGCTTGTCCGAAACCCCGAGCTTGTCAAGCGCGACCCACGCATTAGGGAAGAGACCGAGAGCTGCGCCGGTCGCTCGCAGCTCCTTCGATCTCTCAAGGATGAGGGCTCGAACACCGACCTTCTTAAGGGCCACTGCCGTTGCCAGCCCCGCGATGCCGGCACCCACAATCACCACTTCCTCCATAAATGGTTATCTTCTACTTCGAGCTTGTGAGCGTGTGCGTGTATTTTTGTTTTGAATTGGGATAAGGAGTCTCTTTTCTTACTGCCGCTACTTATAGAGTGGCAAACTTGTCTTTTGATTGCTACGTACGTGCTTACGTATGCTACAGAAGCATCATTGAATGAAAATTACAGCCGCAGAATGGAGGGCAATAATTGAACGCAACAGGAACTATTTTTGGAAAGGAGCAAAACTTGATAAAGCCCGTTAAAATTAGGGACAAGTGACACGGACCGACTAAATTGAGAACTCTCTGAACCGGATTAAATCAGTCAGTTCTCAGGGGTGCCGGTCTGGTTTCCGATCTCAATTATTTGGAACCCGTAATTTTCGATCCGGTTTGCGGTTCTAGGAGAAACCGGACTGTACCAATTATTTTTTTAAGCTGTCCTAGAGCATGTAATAAGCAACAAACAAAAGTATGATCTGCTCAGTGATGGAAGAATTTTCGACATGTTTCTCAAGGGTTATATGAGCTTTGGAAAAAAGAAAAGGAGAAGCCCTGGAGAGAGAATGCGAGAGAGTAATCGATCTGTTGACTAAGTTCTGGGTTAGAGAACAGAGCTAGTGTTTCAGGGCTGATGTGTTTGAAGTCTGGAAGAAAATCTGCATGGGTTAGACGTGGTATAATGTCTTGTTTAGGTGTAGGCAGCACACTTTCGTTTTTGTCCACTTGTAAATGTTGAAGCAGGCTGCCAACGTACTACAAACATTGAACTTACGTACTGACCCACCAAGCTCCAAGCCGAGAGAGAGAGAACAGGAATTATTGTGAATCCATTGGTGTATTGGACCGCCTGGGAACAGACCAGTCCAGCCTTAGGACCAGGCGATCTGGTTCGCGATTCCAAAAAGAGGGAACTGGTCCTACTGGTCCAGTTTCTGATTCCTAAGTGGGACTAGACCGGGAACTGATCACCCCTAGGTAAAATAACCCAGCTATTGGCTAGTTTAGCGAGGTCGAGCGTCGCCTAGCCACTAGCAAGGCCAGCGAGGGTGAGCCTCGTTGGCCATCGCCAAGGCCTGACGACTGGCGAAAGAAGAAGGGAAAAAAAAGAAAGAAAGAAAAAAAGAAAAAAATCATAAAAAATTCAGAAAAATGTAAAAAGTTGTCAATATCAGCATCGACTATACCCCATAGGACGACATATGTCCACATCAATGATTTTCGGCCAAAATAAGCCAAAAGGACTACGCTGGCAGATCTTCAAAATATTTAGGACTAAATTGGTCAAATTAAAAGGTTTAGGACTGAATTGACATCCATACAATAGGTTTAGGATTTTTTTGGTAATTTTCTCATAAAATATGAACGGTCTGCTCATATTTATTTAGTCGCCTCAAACTTTTATAAGTATCACCAAAAAATGGATCTCAAATTTATACAAAGTCTTTAGGTAAATGGGACAAGTGCATTAGAAATCCTTAAATTTATCGAGGAAGTGCAATTGAATTCTAAACCTTATTAAAATAATGCAATCAAGTCCCTCTGTTAACTCTGTTTAATTTGGCTTATGAAAAGTACTAATATGGTTTTCAAAGAAACGTAGTGCCAATGTAGTGCCCACCAATTGTCACGTCAGAAAAAATTTAAACATTTAAAAAGAAAAAAATTAAAGAATTTTAAACTTTAAAAAGGGTTTTTACTGTTTATCTTCTTCTTTTGTTGAATGCTTACTGTTCATGCTCCACCCGCCATGAAATCTTGACATGAAATTGCGGGTTTGATTTGCTCCAAAATTGATGTCCCGACATGGCCGAGAGCTTGACAAAACTCGAGCAGTCAGTGGCCGTGGCTTGTAGAAGATGAACAATCTAAGAATTCAACGAAAAAAGAAGATGAACCGTCTAAGAAGTAGATGAATGGTAGTTTTTCTTATCTTCTTTTAATTTTTTTAAATATTTTTTTCTTTTTAGCTTTATTTAAATTTAGGTTTTCAAATTTTTTCTTATGTGGTGCTTGGTGGGCACCACATGTCTCAACAAAGTAATTAAAAAAAGCCACGTCATTATTTTTTGTTAGTCAAATTAGACGAAGCTCATAAAGGACTTGATTGCATCAATTTAACAAGTTTTATGGCTTAATTATACATTTTGAAAGTTTTAATACTTAATTGTACTTTCGCCATAAGTTTTGAGACTTCTAATACACTTATCCCTACGTAAAAATAGAGAATCAAAATGGTTTACAAATTGATCTATAGAAATTTTTCTAAACGAACATGAAAAGCTACAAGTATTCTTTAAACAAGTGCACCACATGTCTAGATTTTGCTAAACCGTGGCGTGAAAAGTCTGGATACATGTGGTTTTACTTCTAGATGTATAATTTGCCATTAACACAAAATAATCCTTTTTAAATTCCTTCTGGTAAATAATATAATATTCTATTAATTTAAGGGCGAATCTATTTCGACTCTCAATATAACTAAATTCATCCCATTTTCACTAGAGAGATAAAATTGTCCTCAATCATTCAATTGCAATTTAAAGTGGTGGCCTCAAAATTATTTATATTCCTTCCTTTTTTAATTTTCTATTTTTATGTAGCATCTAGTTGCTATGATTAATATCACATGTTTTTTTTTATTTGTTGTGGGTATCTCATGTATATTAAGGCACTTAGATTTTACTTCCGTAGAAATTTCCTTTCTCGAAGAGAGAAACTTCCAAAAATTCTAGTTCTTTCTTACATTGTCGAGCAAATTTCTAGATTAATTATCAATTAGAATTATGAATATTTTTAGCATAAACAATTTTACTAATACAATCGCATGTTTATAACAGAAAAATTACCAAAAAATCATAAATCAATTGTACGGATGCCAATTCAATCCTAAAACTTTCAATTTGGCCAATTAGTCCTGAACCGTTTAATAGTTTGCCAATATAGTTCTTCCCGCCAATTTTATTTGGCAATCACTGATGTGTGGATGTTAGTCATCTTATGCGGCACAGCCGAAGCTGACGTGGACAATTTCTTGCAATTTAAATGAAACTATGCAAATATGGAAACCATTGAAGACGATTTGGTTTATCTAGAAGAAAAGGAATGAATTTACTCATATAGAAAGTGGAAATAGCTTGACCTTGATTAAAAATAATTCTTTTTAATTTCCTTCTAGTGAATTGATGCCCCTGTCTTATAAATTGACATACATGAAGAAAGCACTGCGTGGACCTTGTCTTATTGCTCTTTTACCTGCCTTCGGATTCTTTTCCAACGATGTCTTCTTGAGAGCCAGAACACAAATTGGACCGTCCTAACGAACGGTCAACAGAGGACGTTTAGTCAATCTGTGTATTTGACCCAAACATTGACGTTGTTTCCGGATATTTCAATTAAAAAAGATGTTGCAATCACCGATTCCGAACAACTCAAACAGGTGTAGTGAAGTTTAATGTACCTGAAGATCTCCTCTGTTTATAATCGAAAAGTTCAACAAATAGGATTTTGAAAGGTGGAAACTCCAAATTGATAACTATCTTTATCAAAAAAATCTCTATGCACCACTTGAGGGGTGGAAGCCCAAAATCGCGGAAGTGGATCTGACAGTAGAATAGGGATGGAAATTCTTGATTGAAAGGCATTGGGTGCGATTCATCTAGGGCTGACAAAAACGACAGGGTATCTCATCGCAAAAGCAAGGACTGCAAAAGAAGTCATGGATATTCGAACGAATATATATGAGATGCCGTACACATTAAATCAAATATTTTTGCTGAAGAAGTTGGTTAATATGAAGTTATCTAATAGAGATTCTGTGGCAGAGCATATTAATAGTTTTGCGCAAGTCACAGGTCAATTGGAATCCGCAAGCATATAAATCTGAGTATGAAGCTCCAAGCTTTACTATTTTTATGTTCCCTTCTGGATGATTTGACTCTAGATGATGCTGTGAGCAGGATCACGGATGAAGAGATGCGAAGGAAATTTTCATGTGGAGATAATTTTTTGGCATCTATGTCTTCGATGGCACTAGTAGAAGAGAACCGTAGGAGAAGTAAAAGCAGAGGAAAATTCAGCAGGCGTGGCAGGTCACAATCAAAGGGGAAGAGAGAGGCTGCAAAAGATGAGTGCTAGTTTTGTCTCCAAACCGGAAACTAGAGATTTCATTGTGAAACCTACAAAAAAAAAAAAGCGGCAGGATGAGAATCATTGAGCTAACGTGGTTAGCGATAAACCTTTACTAAAGAACTTGTGTTTGTCTGCAGGGTTTGACTGGATGATAGACAACTGGTTTGTTGACTCCGGTGCAGACATATTTGCTGATTATGCTAGTGGAGATTTCGGGCAAGTGGTTGGGAGAAATGGACACATGTGTTCAATTGTGGGAAAAGGAGCTGTGATTGTGAATATCTCAGGTGAAGGACATCTTTTGCGTGAAACCAGGCATATTCCAAAATTGAAGAAAAATCTGATCTTGACTAGTAAACTTGGCTAAGAATGTTTTGTAACAATCTTTGCATGCTAAGAGTGGAAGATAACCTCAGGGCAAGAGTAGTAGCAAAGGGAAAGCGTATATGTACACTTTACCTTCTCTAGGGAGATAATTTCAATGATATGGCTACAACTATAGTGGTTACAGGTAGTTTGTCTACTTTTTCGCATTATTGTTTAGGGCGTCTTATTGAATTCCAAGTTTGAAGAAAGTTGATTTGGATTTCTATGAGAGAGAGTTGCATTTATAGAAAACAAAAAACGATTAGTTTTCAATTGAATGGGTGACAGAATAAAGGCCGAAAGCTAGAGTTGGTTCATATTGATGTAGTGGGATCGACTTAGGAACTCTCTTTTGGTGGTAAGAAATATTTTGTCACTTTCATTGATAATGCTTTAAGGAAGACTTGGGTCTATGCTCTCACAGAAAAATCAAAAATATTTGTGATGTTCAAAATGTGAAAGACCATGGTAGAAAAAGTGACAAGTTATCAGATTAAAGCTCTGAAGTCTGATAATGGTGGTGAATACATGAGCAAGGAACTTGTAGAATACTTGAGCCGAGAAGGCATACACTGGTTAAAG